TGCCAGCGACGACGAGTACGACACCGTCTTACTTCACGACTCCCAGCACCTCGACGAAGTCAGTAGGATGTGTGTGTGTGTGTGTGTGTGTGTGTGTGTGAAGATGCCGATGGATGGAGTTCGTTCTGCTTTGCGTGCAATGCTTGTACTTCATGCCTGTACATCCGACGAATGCAAACACACAATGCCCTCGACACCACCTGACATCCCACTTCCCCCATGTCACTGCCTGTTCCCGGTTGTGTGCAGCGGGTACAAGAGGAGACTGCCAACTATCTCGCCTCCAAGGGTGTTGGTGCCGAGCTCTGCCGCGCAATCGAGGGCCTCGTCGCTGACGCGGTATGCCTGGTGATCCGTGGTGCTCGTGTGTGTGTGTGTGTGTGTGTGTGTGTGTGTGTGTGTGTGTGTGTGTGTGTGCTCGTGTGTGTGTGTGTGTGTGTGTGTGTGTGTGTGTGTGTGCTCATGTGTGTGTGTGTGTGTGTGTGTGTGCTCATGTGTGTGTGTGTGTGTGTGTGTGTGCTCATGTGTGTGTGTGTGTGTGTGTGTGTGTGTGATTTGTACCATTGTTTTCGCTTGCATCTGCAAGTGCCCTTGTGTTTGCTCTGCTTTTCCTTCCACCCATCACCTCGTCTCATCCCCTCCCTCGCTATCACCATCGGTCCTGCTTGCAGGAGTACAACGAGTACCTCAAGTGGCTCAACGACACCGCAGACTTCCTCGAGTGAACACATCCCTTCCACCCCATCCAACCAGCCATCATCTCCCACATCCAATCATGATGACGATGGCGGCAGCTGCGCCCGCATGTTTGCACACTTGCGTATTGGGTGTGATGTCATCACAATGTGATGTGACAGCATTTGTGTGCGTTCATATGTGCGTGCCTGTGCGTGTTTGCCATTGCTGCCTTCAACCCTTTCCTCTTTTGTGCTTGCTTGTTTGCTGTTTGCTGTGTGCAAATGAACAATGGCGAGCAGACAACCAAGTACTTGGCATCCGATGAGCAAGTGGCATTATCTTTTACTTGCACAAACACACCCAAAACAACCGCAAACTGAATGAACTCAGACAAGGAACCACAGATCACATCTTAACAGCCAGCAAGAGCTTAACGCGCGCACACACATCTATCATGCACACACGCGCACACATCTATCATTCACACACACACACACATCACGTCACACACCACATCCCACGCCTCGCAGTGCGGTGCGGCTACTGGGGCTGGTCTGGTTTCGCTTTGGCGAGGCCTCGGATGCTGAGATCATACACAACTTGCTCCACATTCTTCACATCGTACTTCAGGGAATCAAACCTGTCAAGGGAAGGGGGGTGTAGTAGGTGATGGTGAACGGGCGGTGGGAGGACTCATTCGCACACGCATACGGACACACACACTCACTCACACCAACACATCACCGCACACAGACACGCACATACAGACACAGACACACACACAGAGACAGACACAGACACATACAGACACATACAGACACAGACACACACACACAGCCACACGCAAACGGACTTCCTGCGGAGGGAGTCGTTCTTGAGGTTGAGGAGCTTGAATGCGTCGTAGAGGTTGGAGATGAAACGGGAGATGGTGACCGGTCGCTCAAAGTCGCCCATGGTCACGCAGTTGGTGGCCAGGCGCGTCAGCTCAGATGGCAGGCTGCACAGTCCCATCAGGTAGTCTTCAACGTCAATGTGGAAGTCTGCGGGGTCGTTGGACGTGACTGGCAGCAGCAACACCGTTTGTGGCGTGGTGTGTGGGTGATGGAGGCCGCGATGCGTGAGAATACTGTGGGTCAACGTTGAATCGTGCGCTCAAGCCATACTCACACGTACGAACATGCACACGGATCACGCACAACACGCACACTCACAGATCACCCACCACACGCACACTCACCACACACTCACACACACACACACACACACACGCACGCACACACTCACTCACACGCACACACACACACGTACACACCTCCGAGAAGGTTCTGGATATCCTGGAGCTGGATGACGCTGCCGTCGTTGAGGAAGGTCATGAGGGCAGCAAGGTACACGGTCTGCTGTGTCACCCAGCGCCAGTGCATGTTGTAGCGGTAGTACTCGCCAGGCGGCACCTTCTCCGCAAGCTGCGCATACAGCGCCTTCATGGCCTCAAACCCCTTGGCTGCCTCGGCCGTGCACACTCCAACTGCAACCCGCAAACATCACACACACACACACACACACACACGCACGCACGCAGGCCACAACAGAACCCAAGGCATGAGCACAAGCACGGGTAGGCGAGCAACTTGAAAATCACACAGACGTTGCTGCTGCTGTTGAAGTGCACACACGGCCGCTTTGAACGGCTGCACTTTCCACAAGAAGAGAATGCAGGCTGTGCTTGAATCCACGCATCATACCTTTGTCGGCAGGGAGGTGATGGCACTGTTGCAGGGCGCGCTCGATCTCGCGCATCTTCGGCTCAATGGTCTTCACCACATCCTTGATGGCCTGTGCACACGTGATGGGTCGACACCGACGCAGCATCCAACAAATCAGCAACCACAAACAGCCCCTTGATCTCTCTCGTGCACACGTCGTTCACACAGAGAGAGAGAGAGAGAGATCACGCAGCACACTGCACAACTGACACAGCACACTGCACACTGCACACTACACACTTCACGCAGCACACTGCACACTGCACAACTGACACAGCACACAGCACACAGCATGCACACGCACCTCCCGCTTCTCTTGCTCGGCGTCTGCCACATCCTGGAACCACTGGAACATGCTCATATTGGCTGCTGTGTGCGCTGCTGCGAGCTCAAGGGTGTTATGCGGGTTGTGGCGATTGTATGAAAATACACATAATTTTCAGTCGCCGGGAAATTTCAAACAGCAGCTTCCGTCCACCAAGCACGACGAACTGTGTGGCTGCTTCCACAACCCCGCACACGCACTCTCCCTCCATCTCTCGCTTGCTCTCACTCTCGCTCTCCGTCTGTCACTGTGACCGTTGAGTGGAGAAAGTGAGCATGCCACTGACGGAACTGTGCAGCGGCAATGACGCTGGTGCTGGCGTGAGCGCAGCGCCGCAGAAGAAGCAAAAGAGCTGCGATGGCAACGTGCATGAACGTCAACAGCACGGCGAAGAAAACGCAGGCGCAGGCAGGAACCCGCAGCTCTTGTTCAAGCGACTGATCGCAAAAGCCAAAGAGAAGCAGGCAGCCTGCCAGTACAGGGCCGCCCTCAAGAAGTACGAGAAGGCCGCCACCCTCTTCACCACTCCAAAGGTGTTTATGGACGGTGCAGTTGTTTGTGTTTCACATGCGCATACAAGTCGAATGCATGCACCCAGGAAACACGAGTACTCACACACACACAAGTACTTACACACTCACAACCACACTCACACACAAGTACTCACATTCACACACACACACACACACATGTATCCACACACACATGTGTTTTTTCGCGCTTGCATTGACGTAGCTGGCGAAACGCATCGAAAAGCTCAAGGCCATCATTGCGCAGTGCAAGCCGCTCGGGGACGGGTTTGTGCTGGACCCAAACACGGGCTGCTGTGTGCTGGATGAGCGCTTCTTCTTGCCCCAGGACACGTACGAGAAGCTGTACAAGCACCAGCGTGAAGGTGTCAAGTGGCTCTGGACGCTCTTCAAGAACCAGCACGGTGGCATCCTCGCCGATGACATGGTACCAACGTGCAGCCTGTGTATGTATGTATGTGCGTGTGCACATATGTGTCTATGCTTTCAGTGTATTCTTGTGGATGCTTGGTTTGGAGGTGTGCTGTGCATCCCCGTGATACATATCTGGTTGCACCCCCAAACCACTTGCGACCAGCATTGCATGTCACATGGATGCCAAACCTCACCACACAACCACGCGGCCTGCCAATGATGGCAGGGTCTGGGCAAGACCGTGCAAGTGTCGTCGTATCTCGATGGCCTCTTTGCCTCGGAGCTGATCCACTCCGCGCTGATTGTGCTGCCACTCTCGCTCGCCGCCACGTGGAAGAAGGAGCTCGCGTTTTGGGCACCAAACGTCAACGTGCAGGTGTGTTGTGTCGTGTTGTGTTGTGTTGTGTCGTGTTGTGTTGTGTTGTGTTGTGTTGTGTTGTATTGTGTTGTGTTGTATTGTTTCGTGCCGTGTAGGAAACTCTGTGCTTGTTGGCTTGCGTGTATGTGATGTAGACTATGCGCGGGTCGTCACACGCACGCAGTTGTTATGTCGCCGCGCTTGTGCTCACAGAATGCAATGTCTACTCGTCTGCAGGTGTTCCACGGCACACGAAAGGCCGCACGGAGGAAGGCCCTCATGTCCGTCCTGGTTCGTGCGCCTCACATATCATGCAAACACACATAGCGCGTGCACACACGCACACACACATACACAGCCTGCTCCATGTGTTACATCTGCTCTTCAGTATGCAATTCCTGCTTCAACCTGGGGTGTAACGTCTGCGTGCGTTCGTGTGAGGCAGAAGGAAGGCGGCATCTGTCTGACCACGTACGGGATGGTGCTGTCGTCAACGGATGACCTCAACCACGAAGGTCACGTGTGGGACTACGTCATTCTTGACGAAGGTGTGTATGTGTACGTGTGTGTGTGTGTGCGTGCGTGTGTGTGTGTGTGTGTACGTGTGTGAGTGTGTGTGTATGTGCGTGTGTGTATGTATGTGTGTGTGCAAGTGTGTGTGTGTGTGGCACGCGGATAGTGAGCAGCTCATTTGGTGGATGCCATGTAGCCCCAATTAACGCAAGTTCTCACTTGCCATCGTTGCAATGGTATTGTAGGGCACAAGATCCGAAACCACACAAGCCAGAGTGCAAAGGCAATTCGCGAAGTGAACACAGACAACAGAATCATTCTCAGCGGTATGAGCACATGCATATGTATGCATGTGTGCGTGCATGTGTGTGTGTGTGCCCTCCCCTCCCGCGCATACTGTCACTTCTGAGGAGATGGACGCCGTGTGGGAGGAAGAATGGCGCACCTGTCGTCGGTAGTGGTGGTGGTGGTGGTGGTGGTGGTGGTGGTGGCATGTGAAACAAGTTGGTATGCTTCTCCTGCGTACGGCGGTCCCTGTCACCTTTGTACGCCTTCACACAAAACTTCGGAACACTTTTCGCGCGCGCTGCTGCAGGCACACCCATCCAGAACAAGCTGGGCGAGCTGTGGGCGCTGTTTGACTTTGTGTGCTTTGGCACGCTGCTTGGATCCCGTCGCACCTTCACAAATGAGTTTGAGAAGACAATTGTGCAAGGTTCCGACCGAAAGGCCACCAGAATGCAGAAGCTGGACGCACAAGAGGTGAGTACGCCAGAACAAAACGCATTTGCACAAGTTGTGTACGCGTGCACTTGCCTGTCTGTGCAGCAGCGCATGAATAACGTTGTTGACGTTCAGCGCAGGCACGGTCGTACAACACAAACGAGCATGCCTCCACATTCACCATCATCCCCACTCTGTAATCCATTCCATGTTCTCATCTTGCATCTCAAAGGTTGCGGAGACGCTGCGGAAATTGATTCAGCCACACTTTCTCCGACGCGAGAAGAAAACAGCGCTTTGCTCAGGTGTGTGTGTTTGGCTGTGTGTGTGTGTGTGTGCCTGCGTGTGTGTATTTGGCTGTGTGTGGGTGTGTGTGAGTTGTATGTGTGTGTGTGTAGCTGTCGTGTGTATGTGTGTGTGTGTGTGTGTGTGTGGCTGTCGTGAGACACAATTGACGTTTCTAGCTCACACGTTCCACACTGCCATTGTGTCAACGCTGCTGCAACAACAGGAGGTGGCGACCAGGGCAAGACAGCACAAGATGCCGTGCTGGCTGGCTGTGCTGTTGTGGACGACAGCCCTGACCAAGCAGCCTCCGCATGCAAACAGCTGCCAACGGATGCCAACGATGATGACGATGATGCTGGCGGTGCAGTGAAGCATGAGAGCGGCGCGCCCAAGTCGCTACCACGCAAGGACGATCTGGTGATGTGGATTCGGCTGTCTGAGCTGCAGGAACGCATCTACACGCATTTCCTCAACTCCGAACGCGTGCAAGAGATTCTCAACTCGACCAAGTCCCCGCTCGCCGCCCTCAATGTCATGAAGAAGGTCTGCACTTGCGTTTTTGTGTTTGTGGTGTGTAGGTTGTGATTGTATGCTGATAGACGTTTGTGTGTTTGACTGTGTTGTACTTTGTATCCTGTATGTTGTGTTGTGTCGCACACACACACACACCATGCTGCCGTGGTTCGCTGTCTGCACGAAATTATTTCGCTTCCTTCGCTCACATCCTCACACCACCTGCGCATACACACACATACGCACCTACATTGCTGCACAATCCACCTCCACAACACAAACATCTCTTCAATGCAGTTGTGTGATCACCCGCGCCTGCTGCGTGGACAGCAGCAGTACCACGTTGCTCTTGGTTTCCGCGACGCTGATGAGAAAACAGACACTGCACGTGACGACAGCACAAACGGACGTGGAAGCAGCAGCAGCAGCAGTCGCAACAACAGCTATGATCACGGCGCTGGAGATGATGATGATGATGACGACGATGATGATGGTGTGGGCACGCTTGGTGTTGAACGGTTGGACTTGAACACGACAGCAGCAGCGCTGAACGGAGCAGATTCACAGCTGCACGCTGGCATGTCCACTGTTCTCGATGAAGAGACGGTCAACGCAATCTTCAACCCGCATGTGTCATTGCACGATGTGGTGAAGCAATCTGGCAAGCTGCGCTTCTGCGTGCATTTGCTTGAGCAGTTGCGACAGGAGGGCCACCGCGCTCTCCTCTTCAGCCAATCCCTCAAAATGCTCGACATCATCAGCGCCGTCCTCAACGAACAGGGCGTCAAGTGCGTTGTGTGTATGTGTGTGATGTGTGTGCGTGCGTTGTGTGTGTGTGTATGTATGTGTGTGTGTGAGTGTGTGATGTGTGTGCGTGTGTGTGCGTGCGTGTGTGTGTACTCATGCCTGCGCTTGGCCACAAGCAATACTCCATGAACTCCAACAGTGATAATGCAGCACAGTTCTCATCACAGCCTTGTGCTTGCGCGTTTCGTGTATCCACCATCGCAGACATTCGCGCCTGCATGGTGCCATCAGCGACACGGATGAGCGGCAGAAAATCGTTGATGACTTCAATAGCGACGCGTCCATCTTCTGCATGCTTCTCACCACGCAAGTTGGTGGTGTTGGTCTCACACTCACAGGGGCAGACCGCGTCATCATCTTCGATCCAAGCTGGAACCCGTCCACAGACGCACAGGCCGTCGACAGAGCGTGCGTGTTGCCTCTGCGTCAGTGTGTGTGTGCATGTGTGGATGCGAGTGACTGCAGCAGTGAGAGAGAGAGTGTGTGTGTGTGTGTGTGAGTAAGAGAGTGAGTGAGTGAGTGAGTGAGCGAGTGAGTGAGAGAAAGAGAGCGAGTGTGTGTGTGTGTGTGTGTGCATGTGTGGATGCGAGTGACTGCAGCAGTGAGAGAGAGAGTGTGTGTGTGTGTGTGTGAGTAAGAGAGTGAGTGAGTGAGTGAGTGAGCGAGTGAGTGAGAGAAAGAGAGCGAGTGTGTGTGTGTGTGTGTGTGTGTGTGTGTGTGTGTGACATCGCCCCTCCCCCTTTTCGATCTACAGCTCCACCTCAGCCGTCGATGCAACGAGTGACATGTCCGTCATCTGCAGTTTAACCTCATCGCCTTTCTCTTGCGCATGTGTGCACGCGTTTTGCTTCAACAGCTACCGAATTGGGCAAACGCGCCGTGTTGTTGTCTACCGCCTCATCACGTGCGGAACAATCGAGGAGAAGATTTACCGCAAGCAGGCGAGTACATGAATCTGCACTTGTTGAAAGCCACACAGCAGTGCACATGTGCTCTCGTGCGTTCGTGGGTGTGTGTGTGTGTGTGTGTGTGTGTGTGTGTGTGGGTGCATTCTCTTGTTTGGGCATTTCAAGACTCGTTGCAGGCGACAGGATTGTTGTTCACAACCAGGTTTCGTTCACGTGCGTGCATGTGCGTGTCATTGCCACTGCAGGTGTTCAAGGACGGGCTGTCTCGTGTGGCGACGTCATCGCAGAATCCATATCGCTACTTCTCCCGCAATGTACGCACTCACCCAGACTGACATCAATGAAGGAGGTGGTTGTTGTGTATTGTAGCTGCTTTATTCTTGTTTTGGCGGTGGTTGACACGCTACTACACCGCAAGCACCCACGTGTGCTCACACCTGCTCGATCGTGTTCTCATCCGTGTGTGCATACACTGAACACGGTCGTTTTCACGTGTGCGCAACACAGGAGATCAAGGCTCTGTTTAAGCTGGAAGACACGTCCGTCTCCGAAACATTTGTGCAGCTGCAACAGCTCCACGGCAAGCAGGTGTGTGTGTGTGTGTGTGAATGTGAATGTGTGGTGTGGTTGTTGCTTGATTGGTTGGTGGGTTGATGTAGTTTGTATGAGTGCCCGTGAGTTTATTTGACACGTGTGAACTCAAATGACAATTCAGATTGACTCGAACGTACTGTGCTGCTCACCTTCCCTGTATCGAACTGCCTCTCCCGCCTCGATAAATGCTCCCTTGTCCAGATTGATGATGAGGAGCTGGAGGCACACGTGCGGGCACTGCCGGCCACAGAGCTGTCTGCGACATCAAATCACGCATTGCTGTTCAGCAAAGCAAACCAGGACGAGGCTGTGGACCATTGTGATGCACACGGCGCCCGCACACGCGCAGCAGACAAAGGGGAGCGGCTGCGACGCGAGGGGCAGGATGCAGGACAGCAGTCGCGAACACACGCACAACACAAGCACAAGCGCCGTGTGGCTCATGAATCTGATGATGATGGTGATGGTGATGGTGATGGTGATGGTGATGGTGATGGTGATGGTGATGGTGATGGTGACGCTGAAGATCACGGTGAAACACACGACGGACACGCCAGCAGCACCTTAGAATATGAGGATGAGGGCGAAAACGAAGAAGAAGAAGAGGAACGCAATCACCCAGGACAGCAAGATGATGAACAAGAAGCGGAATGCACAGGTGAAACGATGGAACAAGCGATGGACGAGGCAGATGTGGGCCTTTGCAGTGATGGCCATGATGAACATGCTGACAGCGATGGCTGTGCAGATGATGAAAACGCATTCGGCGACGCAGACAGTCCAGTCGTTGGCAGTGCCCACCGCCCCTCTCAATTGATTGTCACCTCAGAGGAGGAGGAAGAAGAAGGAGAAGGTGCGGCATCAAGACACGATGATAGCAGTGATGATGGCGCTGACTATGACGATGCAATCAACTCCTTCACACACGATGAAAGGGATGAAGACGGTGATGAAGAACTCCACAACGACACTGCCGGTGATGGCGATGACGAGGAGGAGGAGGAGGAGGAGGAGGAGGAGGAGGAGGAGGAGGAGGAGGAGGAGGAGGAGGAAGAAGACAGTCGTGGCGATGAGTGCTTCGGTGATGAACATGGCAGTGTTGTGATGCCTGCGGCCACATCGTTTCTTGAAAAGTATCAGGGCGCGAGCATGATTGTCATGGATGACTCCTTTGGTCATGGCAGCGCTGGTGAGGACGACGATGAGGAGGAGGACGATGCAGAGTCATTCGACACATGCGCAAGCGATTTGGACATGGATGTTGCTGGTGCCAAGGAGGGTGATGCTGGTGATGTCGGCCGAAGCAGCGCTGCTGGTGTTGAGAACCAAGGTGACATGGAGGATTCCTTCTACACGGCCGACGAGCGTGATGATGAAGAGCACGGTGATGATTCTGCTGACTGTGAGGAGGTGTATGATCAGCACGATGGTGTTGGCACTCCGTCTGCACCGAGCAGCCCCGTCGCCCCGTTTGAGGTGCATGGCCGCATGTTTTCCTCGCCAGCGGCTTTTGTGATGTCACCACAGTCACGTGTGGACACAACAACCGCTCCAGTCTGTTCTCGTCACCAGTCAACCAAGGTAAA